AGATTTTCCTTCTGGAAACATGCATAAAGGCCAGGATGTGTTTGCATCCAATCTCCAGAGCAAGTTTCTTCTTCTACCTTTGAATGCATGTAATAAATTGCAAGACACCAGCATAATGAAAAGACTGGCAAAGTAAACTTTCTGTACAAGAGCTGCATCTCAATAAGACAGCTATATTCTGTTTATTAGCTTCACAAAGAATAGTGAGTCACAGATGAGAATAACACACTGATGCACTATCAAAGGAAATAAGCAACATCCTCATCAAAAAATTGGAAAAATTCCATATAATAAGAGATTAATTTCCCTATCAAAATGATGAGGTCTCTAGTCATGTTTCTTTGAAAAGCAGGAAATATACTGTCCTCTCCAGCAGTAATAAACTAGAACTTTCTTGATCATGGTATATCATCACATAAAAAGAGATTAATTTTCCTATCAAAATGATGAGGTCTCTAGTCATGTTTCTTTGAAAAGCAGGAAATATACTGTCCTCTCCAGCAGTAATAAACTAGAACTTTCTTGATCATGGTATATCATCACATAAATGAGAGCTAACTACAAATCTGTGAAGAATGATGAAAAGTCTCAAACTGAAAATATACTGCCTGAGGACATTAGCAAACCTTCACAAGAAATTGGATTTTTGCTGTGTAAGAATTAGCATTTCACTTCCTTTCAAGATGCATCAAATTATTTCTTTTCATGATTTTGTCTTCCATATTTCAAGGATGTATAATAACCAGAAGGCCTCAGAAAATTTGACTTAAAGACATTTTAGAGAAAAAAGTCTTTGAGTTAAGGAGGTTTTTAATGCATTGATTCTAAGAAGATTTTAGAAAGGGACTTGAAAAAAATTTGAATAAAGGAGGTTTGAGGGCGACCTCTGGCGGATTCCCGTCAATTTTTTGGTTTTGAGGAAGGCGTAGTTCTAGTTCATACAAGAACTTTTTTTGGACAGTAGATATATTTGCTATATCCTTATTCTCTCGATTAGGGTTAACAAAGATGTGCAAATGGTCTTTGAGCTACTGTAGAATTTCTTAATTTACCAATGCTTTAATAACTTGCACTGATGAGTAAATAACTCATCTCAGCTTAGCAGGGTATTTAATCTTGCATCATTATAGAGTTGTGTCTTCTAAAATATAAGAGCAGTCAGTTTCAGGATGAGGATCCTTTTTGTGAGGAGTTAAAAAGAGATTAATTTCCCTATCAAAATGATGAGGTCTCTAGTCATGTTTCTTTGAAAAGCAGGAAATATACTGTCCTCTCCAGCAGTAATAAACTAGAACTTTCTTGATCATGGTATATCATCACATAAAGGACAGCTATCTACAACTCTGAAGAATGATAAAAAGTCTCAAACTGAAAATATACTGCCTGAGGACATCAGCAAACCTTCACAAGAAATTGGATTTTTGCTGTGTAAGAATTAGCATTTCACTTCCTTTCAAGATGCATCAAATTATTTCTTTTCATGATTTTCTCTTCCATATTTCAAGGATGTATAATAACCAGAAGGCCTCAGAAAATTTGACTAACAGACATTTCAGAGAAAAAAGTCTTTGAGTTAGAGAGGTTTTTAATGCATTGATTCTGAGAAGATTTTAGAAAGGGACTTGAAAAAAAAAATTGAATAAAGGAGGCTTGACTTATTGAGGTTCTACTATTAAAAAACAGTCTTTGTTTCCCTTGTATATGGAGCTTGCTTAATTAAAAAATCTAATCAATTGAAAGAATTCCAGATGGTCTGACATAAGAAAATGTTCAAATAATAAAAGCGGCATTTAATTCAAAAAGCATCACCAAGAACTACTGTAAATATATCCTCCCAGAAAAATAGCTCTATAAAGAAACTGAACCAAATGGATTACAGTACTTTCCATGGCCCAACAAAGTGTATATAACTGTGTTTGCTACACCATGCTATTCTGTTAGGGTTGTCAATTAAAGATACAAAATTATATGAAACAATTCCATGGAAAAATCAAATTGTTTATTTTTTAAATTTGATGATTCTGCATAGGTTTGGGTACTTTGCTTGCACAAATAATTTCTGTGATAACCATTGTTTGGAAAATATATTTCATTCATCTGATGGAGTGAAGATGAAAATTTTTGAGAATATCTTTTGCACATTCCCCCTTTTCTGTGTCATTTTTCTGTATATTAGTTAAAGTGACCTCTATATTAAGTGTAAAGACAACATTTTCCCAGGAGAGATTTTTCTTTTAGCTCCAACTTTCATTGAGATACTCACTGGTATATAGGAAAAATCATCCCAATTTTTAAATGGCTAATCCATAAATCTTCCCATGGTTTAGCTTATCTCCTTATTTGGTGCCCAGCTTCCAGCACTTGGTGCAATGTTCTTCATGAGGAGGATTCACACAAATATGAAGCTTTTGCATAGATGGTTATGTGTTTTAGTCCTGACATTCTTTTGTGTCACTTTGTTTTTTGTAATGTGGAAAAGAAGCTTGGAAATGTGTTCTAGTGACTGGATGCTGACTTATCCAGAATTGCATACATTTGTACTTGAAGAAAAACTGAGAGTTTTTGTAGTCAAGGTGAGGTAATTAATTATTTACAACTTTACCTTTTGTCAATGTGAAACTTTTGATTTTGGTTTTTTCTGTGCAGACAGGAAATGTTCCCATTCAGGTGGAATCACTTGTGAAACAATGTAATTTCCAAGTTGAAGAGTGGTACCATGACAAGGTTCCTAAACCATCCAAGAAATTGTGGGAGGAACACAAGTCACTCAGTCACTTGGTCATCACAGCCTCAGGGTACCATATTGTACTAGTGATTGCCAGGTTGAGAGAAAAGGCTGGTTACTTGTGGCTACCAGGATATGAAATGGCTAAAAGCTCAGGATCACAAACTTCTTTGGCAACCCTGCTCAAACCAGCTCCTCATCACTTGGCAAATGACACAGTTTTTGCTTACTTCAGGTAAGTTACTTAGAAAGTTTCAAAAATCTTTTTTTTATTGCTGCTCTATATAACAGCAAGTATTTTGATGACAGAAATGGATCCTGGCATTATACACTTCTCCCTGGAAATGTGGGATTATTAGATGGAATGATCAGCAGAGCCCAGTTTGTGCCATGCAACACAAAGCTGAAGAAAAGAGTGGAGCAGTTCTTCCCCAAATTACTGAATATTCACCAATTACAAGACAACCAGGGGAACAAGAGGGTGATCAGTGCAGTCAAAGATGTCCTGGATCCCCTCAATGTCCCATTCATGATTGAAGGTGGAACACTGTTAGGCAAGTGTCTTTTTTTTCCAGTTCAACTAAATTTGACTCTCTGCATCTTTTATGGTGTTGTTTTACTATGTGTGGATTTTTGGTATAAGTGGAAAAGCCATTCCAAGTTCGTACTGTTGAATTACAAGGACAGTATTTGGTACACATGCTGAATTCATCACTGTCCCACCATTTATGAGAGGAGAGTAATTTGCTTTAGTTAATTTTTAAACATTCAATGGTAAATAATGGACCACATTTGTGGTTAGCAAATAATTATACCTTGGATACTTGTCCTTGGTCTATTTCAGACTCTTTGACTAGCTGAAAATTCCATATTTTACAAGAAATTAAAGAGTACAGATAAAGTAATCAAAAGTAAAAAAAGGTCCAAGTATTGGTTTGTTTTTAATGAAATGCCATCTGCTCCAGGGTTTTACAGGCATTGTGAAACTTTGAAGTACACCAAGGACATAGATGTGTCCATCCTGTATGAGCACTACAGTCCCAACCTGATACCAGCTTTTCTGCAGCATGGCTTCACCATCAATAACAGAAAAGGGTTCCCAAATGAAAGCCTATTGGTCAGCATGCTGTATGCTGATAAATATGTTGATCTCTTTGTGTTGTATCCCACTCACAAGCGTATTTCCTCATTCCTGGTTGGATCATCCACTGGCAGCATCAACAGGTGACTTACATTGAAACTGTCTGTTTTATTAAATTGTAAAACCTTCTTTTCTTTCACAGGTTTGACCACACTTTACCATTTAGTCTGTGTTGGGCAGAGTTCCTGAACCTGTTGGTAAGAGTGCCTTGTGATGTGCAAAGGTACTTGACAGAGGCTTATGGTGAATGGCAAATACCTGTTTTAAACTGGAATTCTTGGGATAATGCTGTGATCCAAGGCTACTACCCAATTGCTGCCCACCCATTCCAGGCAAGAAAATAATTTCAAAACTGAATTTGTAACTAGTTTAACATTTAAACCCATGGATTCAACTTTCAGTCTTTGAATTGGTCATCTGGAAACTTGAGAGTTGTCTCCAATATAGAAGGCTTCAGGCCACACACAATTGAGGAACATGGAAACAAAGCTTAAGAGGCAGCAAATCTCTGATGCCACTCACCCCAAGTATTCTCAAATACCAAATGTCTTCAAGAAGGTCTGAAAGAGAACTTGATGGCATGTGGTTGCCCTCAAGTGACTATTTTGAAACTGTCATTGATTGATTGTCATGCATGCAGCACATGTTTTAATGTTTCACTTTTTTTCTGAGGGTGTGAAATATATTCTATATACTGTGAACCTTGAGTACAGCAAGTGTCCAAGCAACTATACATGTTCAGACATTTTGCTGCTTCAGTAAATTTTAAAAATAAGGAAATATTGTAAATTGAGGAGTGTTTTTCCTAGGAGTAGGACTTTGACTGACGAGAATATAAAATCTTCTGTGTTGAGATATTACTACGTTCTAATTTATGGGACGATTCGACTCTACTCAATAAATGAGTAGTCACCAAGTTATTAAAGCATTGGTAAGTTAAGAAAATTCTACAGTAGGTCAAAGACCATTTGCACATCTTTGTTAACCCTAATCAAGAGAATAAGGATATAGCAAATATATTTACTGTCCAAAAAAAGTTCTTGTATGAACTATAACTTTGCTTTCTTCAAAACCAAAAAATTAACAGGAATCCGCCAGAGGTCGCCCTCTGAATAATTCAAACCACCAGGCAAATTAGTACAAGAAAACAGGAATCAATAAGCTGACATTCTCACAGGGCAAGCAAAAGATTGGAACAAATGATTAACCGGGTGTAAATGGCGACATCTTTACGTCACCAGATGCAAGATGAATGCGTTCATGACACAAGCGATCACAGATGTCACTGCAAGAGCTGGTGCCCCAGCAGTCGTTGTGGTCATATCATCTTGCTTGACTACCAGGGGATCAATCCCTTCAATCCCAGCATCACCTGAAACAACAAAATGTAACTTCACAAAATGTTGCTGAAATACTTGCTGAGATTCTTTGTAGGTTTGATATTTCTAAAGAAAAGAATGTCAGAATTAAAATGAATACACTGCCCAAAAGATATGAAAGCATGACTAAGAAAAATTGGCAAATGTATGACTCATTAAAGTCCACACACTTTCACAGAAATCAATTTTCCATCATGAATTAGTCAATCAAAATCTGGTTTACCAGAGGGACATGCAATTCTACAACTTTGCATCAGAATGAAAACATTCCACACTCAATTCTCAGAAGGCCAGCTTTAATGTTAGGGTTTTCTTTTCAGTACAACATTCTTTCAGCATCAGACTAAGTTCAGTTAGGAAGATTCCATACCTGAGACAGAGCTGCAGAAAATGCCCATGACCAGCAGGGTTGCAACAAGAAATTTCAAGTGCTCCATCTTCAAGATTCCTAGGATCTTGGTGAACAAACAAACTTCCAACAGATGTAGTGGCAAAGAGGTGTGAAAAAGAGGAGCAGTGGTTTGTGTGTGGTTGGGGAGGATAATGATAAAACAAAAAAGCCAACAATCTAGTGACTGTTGAGCAGAAGCATGTCTTCAAAGCCAATTTTTCCAGGGATTCCTCCAGGAAACCTTCTACAGTCTTCACAAGCATGAGTTTTTTTTTGTCTCTCTCATGGAATGTTTGGTGTGAAAGTCCCAGTTCACTTTTCCTTCATTCCAATACTCTTGCTGAGAGCTTTCAGTGGATGACCACTTGAGTTGATCTGGCTGATTTCCATTCATCACCCAACAAAAATTTAAAACAGAATAGTTTTTGTACTTGAGACACAGATGTGTGCAGGGTTATGTGATGGAAATACCATCAATTGAAACTGGTCAAGGGATTTTCCTAGATGCATTTCAGAACTTAAGAGGTTACCATTAAATAAGGTAGTGTATAATTAAGAGCCTGACTGAATTAAAAAAGGTTGAAAAAAGAATTGATGAATTCAAAATGCAGTGGTTTTACATGAAGCTTTGATTCCAGGGTGAATTCTTTTCTGCAGAAATTTTCCTCCCACAAACAATTCTTCTATCAAAGTCATAATCAAAAAATATTTAATCCAAAACAGACCTTGGAAAGCTGTGAATTTCAATGAGTCAGTCAGAAGACATTCTAGGCATAGAATTGACAGTTTTCCCATTAATGTTATGCTCTAAAAGGTATTCCTAAAATTCTTTTGAACTTAGTCAAGCATTTTACTTCTCTTTTCTTGTCCACCATGTTCATCCTGACTTGAAAATATATTCACATCTCAGAAGTCACTTAAATTCATGCTATTTTTGTCTGGGTGATTTTGTTATGTGATTTTCCTAACAGGGACCTACTATGTAAGTCTTCATAAAATTCCTATGCTTTGAATGTCTGCCTCATCTTTTCCCATTAATATGGTATTTACTTGAGTACCATGCACCCTTGAGTAAGGCGCACACAGGGGTTATTCAGTTGAAAATTTTGCAAAAATCATATCTCCAAGTAAGATGCACACCCCAGTTTTTAGTGAATCTAAAACCATAAAATTTCGAAAATAAAAAAAATTTGACTTTAGGCGTGAATTGAACAAAAATCTAATGAATTTTCAACTTTTTCAATAGAAAAATGTTTTCTTGCTACATTTTTTCCGAATTTCTCCATTATAATTAAGTATAATGCAAACATAACTTCCAAAAACTTCTTGAAAATTGTTTACCTGTTTATGACGCGCACCCCTTTTTTTATTCTGAAATTTGGGAAAAAAGGTGCGCGTGGAACTTAAATATGGTATTATGTCTTCCAATGATTCTAATGAACTGATGACCATCATGTTCAAGACAAAATTTTAGAAGTCAGGATAAAATAGAATTGAACACTGTCCCCATCTTTCCAGCTACATGCAGAAGTCCAACAGTGATGACTCAAATGTTTCCAAAAATACATGCCTACTTCTTCAGCCAGATCAACACAAAATGTGAAAAAAACAGACTGCAAAAAAATGCGACACTTCCTCTCGTTTTTTTTCTTCTTCCTCTTTCCTTGCAACAAAAAAAAGTTTACCGAACCTTCCAAGTTGCACATCCTCTCCTCAAATTAAAAACTCCAAAATATTTCCAAAGAACGCCCTTGAAACAAAAAATTTCAGCCCACAAAAAAAAAATCGCATCACCTCTCTCACTTAATGCCGAGAGCCAGAGACAATTAAAAAAAAACGCATCCACAATTTCTCTTCCTCCCAGGAAAAGAAACAGAACTCGAAAGTTCGCTGAACATTCACCCACCCCAAAAAAAGGAGGAGGATCACCAAAAATGGATCTAAACAAAAAAAAAAGCACAAGCACACACTTGCATCCCTAAAACGCAAATTTTAAAAAACCGTGTTCCTGAGGTAGCCTCGTGAACAGAAAGGAACAGAAATCCTGGCTTCCAACTTCCTCCCTTTCCCACCCGCAATTTAAAAAAAAAAAAAAAAACACGAAACCAAAAAAAAAAGAAATCTAAGGAATCCCCATGCTCACCCAGAGACACAATTTTTCTTTTCTTCAACACCGCGTTCGTGACTGGCCTTCGGGATAAAACGTTGAAAAAAAAAAGAAGTGGGAGAGGCCTTGACCTCTTCCCCCAACCCCAATCACCCCTGACCTGACCTGACTTCCATTCGGAAGGCTGGAGGAAGGATTACCATCAAGTGGGGACCACCTTTCAAACCTGACGTGGGTCTTCTTCGTGAGGGGCGACACCTGGATCAACATCGCCTCATTTTCTATTTTAGAGAGAGAGACAAAGACGGGGTTGGGGGAAATTGAAGAAATGCGAGACTGAATGACTCGGGGGAGGGTTGTTCAGGTGAACAATCCGCATTCACTGCTGATGAGGATCCGTTCCCAGTCGTCTTCAGGGAAGTTGTCACTGGTGGAGGTGCAGGAGCCATCGTCTGGCAACACTGATTGTGGGCCTGAGGATGCAGCTGCTGTTGTTGGGCGGGGCACAACACGAATGGAAGAAACAGAAACTTAAATTTAATAACTGAACGAACAATAATTAAAATATCAAGGGTTTTTCCGAAGTCTCGCAAATTTAATTGAAAATTTTCACAGCAGTGAGATTGAATCCTCAGAATTATAAAAAAAAAAAAAATTGACACGCGAATTCCTCTCCATGATTTTGCATTCAAGTAAGATACCGCATTGTACTCATCTGTTATTAAATTAATTTCATAAATGCACCTCAACATCATCAGGATGTAAAATAATAAAATACATTTTCATGATGTCCAGAAAATAATTGAGAAAAATGGCCAAGAGGTTTTATACATCAAAAGTAAAGATAAATTATTTTTATCTGAATGATTAGCAGGACTTGAGAAAACTTTTTATTGTTTAGTATCAATTTGTAATTGATTAAATTAAATTAATTTCATCAATGCACCTCAACATCATCAGAATGTAAAATAATAAAATAAATTTCCATGATGTCCAGAAAATAATTGAGAAAAATGGCCAAGAGGTTTTATACATCAGAAGTTAAGATAATTTATTTTTATCTGAATGATTAGCAGGACATGAGAAAATGTTTTTTTTTATTGCGAAATTGTTTCAATTACCAGCTGCAGCTGCATTTTGGGTACTGAGCTGGGCATTGAGCATGGGGTTCTGCTCCTGCAAGCTTCCAGGTTGTCGCCATTGTTGCCTCTGACCCACAGGTGACATAAGGTTGAATCCTCCCTGGATGATTGAATTCAATAGAAATAAAATTTAATTATCGTGCAATTGAGAAAGAAAAAACGATTAGGAGTATGTCCAGAGAAAAAACATTCCATCACTTTATTCTGATGCACCTGGTTCAAGTTAAAAAAAATATTTTGCGCAAATCCAATTTTAAATTCTAACATTACTGCTTAAATCTGCATTACATTAGATGGAGAAAACATGGATTTACAAAAACTGTTTCTAACTGAAGAATTTTGTTAGGAAATCACATCCACCAAAAACTGTCAGAAAACTTGAGAAAATTAAGTTTCTCTTAGTCTTATTTCACCTTACACAACTTTTTCTTTTGCAATTGAGAAAATATTTTACAGCACATTTTTACTTCAAGCCCACAGCTAGACAAACTTTTAAAAATACAACTCCTACTTTGTTACCAGATAGCAACTGTCATTCAGAGATAGTATAGTATGAAGAAATTTAGAAAGTACTGCAGCAGTATAAACAGAACTTTACCCATTTATTGTAGTAAGTACAGTAGTAGTATATTATTTAATTTAGCAAGCATTAGCATAGCAAATAGGATCAACTAAATTAATCCTATTTAAATTTATCCGATCTAAATAGGAGTACAGTACAAATATATTGAATGGTAGCACAGTATTTAAAAGCTCCAGAATCATACACATCCAACAATGGCACAAAATGCAAAAAGAGGTCATCCTCTCTCTCAATAACATTTTTCTGATTTTCGATGCCAATCAAATTTCACAACAGCAATTCAAGTTTAGGGTTCAATTTTGCTTCTTGTTCTTGTTTAGTGAAAAAAAAATCAGTCAAAATTAGTTCATCAGGACAAACCTGCGAGACACGTGGAGAGAGCTGAGGAGAGAAGGAATGAGGGACAGACACCGGTGAATCAGGGACACTGTGGGATCTCTGCAAAACAAGACAAAAAAAAATGAAATGTCAGTCAATCATGCGCTTTCAAACTACCATTGAGCATCTTCAAGTCAAACTCCAAGGGAATTAGGGAACAGCATAAAAACTTAGAGTTAGGAAGGTTTAGAGAGTTGGGGAAACAAACATTTTGTAGAAATAGAAAAAGAATTAAAGAAAGTTGTAATTGGTGACATTCTGGGCCTTAAAATGCTTTTCAAATGAGTTAACAGGATGCTGAACATTGAGGCAAGGGCGTTTTTTTGCCCAATTTATTGGTGACTTTCTTTTCAAAACACATCCAGTTACACTTTGAATCGCTTTTCTCTTTCATGTGTCAATAAAATAATGGCCAAAAGCCCTCCAGAAAATTCGAGTGACGAAACTTTTGAGGAGAAAAACCGTCGATCACCCATTTTTTCTAAAGGTAATTCAGAGAGGGACTTGAAACAAATTTCGACACAGGGATTCATTTGACTCACGTAACTTCGATTTATAAAGGTTCAACTGTAAAACAAAACAAACTTTTTTTCCGGTACGAAGTTCCAAACATGGACTTAGGGACCCCCTCGGTACTCGTGTCAGTGTAACCCACCACCGTGACTTGGTAAGTCTAGTAGTTCACTACGTATTACGACTTCTACGGGAACAAGTTGTTGTTGCTGCTGCTGAACAGCCTGCTGCTGCACACCTTGTTGTTGTTGTAGTTGCTGCTGCTGCATAACATGCCCTGATTGCATCACCCTTGTCTGTGTTTGCGGCATATGCATCCGCAACCCTGTCACCCAAAAAAAGAAATTAACAAAAATGATACAACATGCTTCCGATTTCCATTTCTGTTTTTTTTTTTTTGCAATGCTAAATTGTAAAATTAAGCATACAAATTGAAGAATACATGTTTCAAGAAAATTATAAGAAAGTTGAAAATTCGGTTTCAGCACCAAAAATCGAAACAAAAGGGGTTTGAGACCAAAA